GGATGTCCAATTATTGGAAAATATGGACTTCCAACTAATATATATTTTTAAGCTGTTGAAGTCCATAGAATTATAAAAAAATGCTATACATGTCACTAAATTCTGTTGTCACTTGGAGCTTAAGTGCACCCATGATGTATCAAAATGTTTATATGTTTATATGTTGTTTTCTTGAACATTTTGAATTGTGTGACTTAAGTGAATTCAGAAATATTGAAGATAAATCTATTATCATTTTTCATTTAAAAATGAGAAAGATAAATTTAAGGCCGCAGTATCACTGTATTTCTCATATAAGAAGCAAGGGTTCACCATTTCCGATTGCATTTAAATCCCGCTAAATGTATTAAAATGAATCTTCTACCAGCTTAAAGTATAAGGTTTGGAGAATGAAATCTCCTATTTTTTATTTGTCCTGTTTATACACTGAATTTTAAAAAAAATCATAAAAAGTGATTTTAAAACCAGAGGCTAAAAAGTAGGAGATTTCATTCTACATACGTTTCCAAGTATCCCGCTAAAATATTTCTAAATTTTATTGCGTATTTTTCAAATCTAACTGGAAATACGATTAACAAATATTTGATAAATTTATTTGTCAAATTAGAGATTTTCTATGAATTCCTGTAATTTTGTATAGTTCATGTAGTTCATCTATTTTTAAGAAGATGCCACCGTAAAAAACAATATAGCTACTCTGTTTTAGAGATGGTTTTAATAGGTAAATGATTGTTTAGAGGTACCAATTTTTGAAACAGTGATACAGGTGTATGCCGTCTTTTATTGTTTCGTGATTTTCATATATATTTGTCTCGTTTGGTTCCAAATTATCGATTGATTTTGCCTATGTATGAACAAGTGTTGACCACGTTGCCAGATTATCGATTTATACGATAATTTCACAATTCTTTCTAGGACGAATTTGATTTTAAAGTGGGTGAAATATACAATGGTAAAATGCAGGAAAGGGAAGGAACTTTATTGCATTCCGATGTAAATTAAATCCGAATGACCTGGCATCATTGTATGATACGCACGTAATATTGGCGGTCTTTGCTTTCTTCTCCTGAATGTTATTTTATCTTTATAAGGAATCTTATTTCTGAGTTAACACGTTGACTGCTATGTGTATGTACCCATGTGTATGTACCCATGTGTATGTACCCATGTGTATGTCCTATTAGTGCGTAATTGTTCAATATTTTAATTTATGTTAAAGACACGCAAACATGTTTTAAAGAAAAGTTATATGGATTTAAAAAATACATATTTTAAAAATATTTTTAGATATATACAGGGTGCTACATTTTTGCTTGGTATATTTTTAAAATAGAACATGTATTTTATTTCAATTTTAGAATGGTTTGGTAATACTGTATTCAACCATAGAATAATTTAAAAAAATATTACAGGTCTGCCAAGCAATTAAATTTTTATAAAATTAGAAAATGATGCAGACCCCAAATTAAATTATCATAATTCAAAATTGTTTAATATACTGACATATAGCACATTAAGATAACGAAAAGTAGTGATAGTGCTGTATTCTTTTATAGCGAGTGTTTTGAAACATGTCTTAAAATGGTTACTTTTAAGTCAAATTACTCAATTTTTCAAAGGCAGCATTTGATATAATATTTTAGCATACAATTCCTTATAAATTTGCATATCCAACGATACCAACATGTTAGAGAATAACATATATACAGAGTGTCCCATCAGTGCGTAATTGATCGATAGCTGTTTTATTATTAGAAATAAGAAAAAAAATAATATAAAAGTTGGACCATATTAAAAATTATTTCTATATAAACGAGATGTTGACCAAACCTATACATTTTTTAATTAAAACACCCTGCAGGTAGTTATACATATTTGATTGTTTTCACGTCGTCAAATAATTTTAATTGACTTTATTCATTTGCTATGTTCTATAAAGAGTGTGTCAACACACGAGGTTACAAATGCTTAAATTTTTTTCAATGGAATATTATATTAATTGGTGGCATAACATACAAGGTGTTCCATTTAGAAAATTAGGAAAATCGTGACCATTTTCACACATCCTATATACAACATAGCAAATGAATGAAATTGAAATTATTGTTCGACGATGTGAAAACAGTCAAACATGTATAACTACCTGCAGGGTGTTTTACTTTAAAAATGTATAGGTTTGGTCAGACAATCGTTTATGGATCACCCTGTATATTTATAAATAATTGTTAAATATGGTCATACAACTTTTATATTAATTTTTTTCGTATATCCTATTATAAAACTGCTATCGATCAATTACGCACTCATGGGACACCCTGTATATGTGTTACTGATATCGTTGGATATGTTAATTTATAAGGAATTGAATGCTTAAATAATATACAGGGTGTGGCATTTGAAAAAAAATTAAATAAATTTAACTTGGAATTAGCCATATTTAAGACTTGTTTTTCAAAACACACTGTAAAAAATAATCCAGTTCTATTGCCACTATTCGTTAGCTTACTATCTTATTACTACATTTAAAAAAAAATTGAAATTATTTTAAACCTACCTAAATAATGATAATTTAATTTGGGGTCTGAATCATTCTCTAATTTCATAAAAAAATTAATTTATTGGCAACCCTGCAATATTTGTTAATAAAATTCTAGGGTTAAATACAGCATTACCAAAGCATTCAAAAACTGAAGTAAAATACAGGGTTTTCTTTTTAAAAAATATACCGTTTTATTTGTCAGACAAAAACGCAAAACTCTGTATGTCTAAAAATATCTTTAAAATACTTATTTTTGAAATTCATATAACTTTTATTTAGAAATTGTTTACGTGTTTACAACACAAATTAAAATATTGAACAATTACGCACTAATGGGACAACCTGAATATATTATTCACAATATATGCACGCGACATATGTTTGTAATAATTTAATCTCGCGCCGCGTTTATGTATTTTATTCATGCGTCTATTAGATATTGTAGTTTACCTAGACCCAACCACAACATTTGCTTCGGCAGTCAACGTGTTTTAAATGCTTTTTTATTAATTTTATTGTTTAATTTGTATTTAGTTATTAATATTTCAAAAATGCTTATTTTTCTTATTGATTAATCTAAAATACGTAATTTTTATTTATAATTGAAAATAGTAGGTACTGTAATTCTAAATTGACGAAAAAAGTAGAAATATGAAAACATAAATTACGACTCTACAAATGAAGTAAAATTTTATGGTCAATTTCTTTTTTCTTACAAAAACATTATCTCAGCAATATGTCATAAGTTGCATACACACAGTAGGTCTATGTAAGTTGATAACAAATGGAAAACTTTTTTATTATTTATTTTACGAAAAAAAGTTATTCTTCATAAAAATGTATGCATGGTCTAACAGAAAATGCAACCACCCGATAGCAAATTTTATCAGTCGGTTTTACAAGGTTTGTCAAAAAATATAATTTTGCTCTCAAGATAAAATACCTTTATTTTCGACAAACCCTGTATACGACTGATAAAATTTGATATCAGATAATTGAAATTTAGGTTTTAGACCATGCATAACTTTTTATGTAAAGTAACTTTTTTTCTAAAATTAATAGACCCATGCAATTGTTTATGAAAAATAAGTTTTTTTTTTTTATTCTTAAAAAGGTTTTCCGTATGCCGATGCCGCCAACTTACATATAAATGAGATTAAATTTTTTGAAAATAATTTTTACTGATGCAGATCTAAATAAAGTATTGTTGGTAAATAAGGTACATTTTTCTTTTTTTATTTGGTTCTTTGGCTGTAAGACCTTTCGGTATATACATGGTATTTCATTAAGAAGGGGAGCAACTGAAGATTAATTGATTAGAAATAAGCCGATTAAACGAAACATTCGTAGGTAAAACATTACTTGTTTCCGAAAAACAGAGTTTTAAAGTTGAAAATCGAAAATTATAAATAGTTATAATTTTTTTATTACTCAGTTTAATTTTACTAAATTCGGCAAACGTTATTGGTGTAATAAAATACATCTATCAGCAAAAAATAAGTTAAATAAGCTTTGCCAGTGGCGTACGTCATGGACCAGTAACATCTTTTTTCCTTCTAAATTTTAGTCCACTGTCCACTTTTGATGTTTTTTAAATAAAGTTGAGTTAGTTTTTGAGATATTCGCACATATTAGAAAATTCTGAAGTTTTTAAATTTCGATTTTTTTTTTATTAAATTTCTGAGAGTACATTATTTATTTTAAAAACATCAAAAAATTTAAAATTTTATGTCCAAATAACATTTTGGATAGTGACGTAAAATTTAAGAGGTATGCGGTATTACGTACGAATGCTGTACGTCACTGGAAAAGTTAATTAAGGTAACTTATTTTTTTGCTGATAGGTGAATAATTTGAAACCAAAAACGTTTGCCAAATTTAGTAAAATTATTGTGAGTAATAAAAAAAATAAAGCCATAAATATTTTTTGGATTTTAACACCTTAACTCGGTACCGAGAAACATTTTATCTAAGCATGATTTGTTTAGTTGTCTTATTTTTAATCAGAATCGTCAGTTGTTCTATGTCCGATTCTTAACGAAACACTATGTATAGTAGGTATAAGTGGTCCCTACGTAATGATACAAAGACCGTTGTCCTTTGTTGACTGGACACAAGAATGAACTACTAAATAAAAAACCGACGTTCCGAATCTAATGCAAAAGTTTTATTTTTATACCTGTTTCATTGAAAATATTTGTCAAGGTCAAGAACTCGTTTAGTTATTATCGCGTAGTAGCTAGGGGTGATGAATTTGTTAGGTATTTTATAACAGTTACCGTTTAGAACTAATAAAATTATTACGCCATCTGTTGAACAAAAGAACTATTAAATATGGAATATTGCTCCATCTGCTGAACAAAAGGATTCTTAATTTATGACACATAAATGACATCTATCAAAATTAGTTCATGTTACGAATATTGGGGGTGGTGCTGTGGTCTTAATAATTAAAAATTACCATTTTTGGGTCCATTTAAAACCCAATCAGAAGAAGCAGCAAAGAGACCATGTTGCAAATAAACAACTTGTCCGTTACTTGCGCCTGATTTTCCGTAGGGTATCCTGTGAATATTCAAAACATATCCATCGCTGGTTGTTACAAAGTGGCTTTCTGAAGGGTATCCTTCGTTGATTATGAGTTCAGGTACTGGTATCCATGGAACATCTGTAAATTAAGAAAGTACTTGAGTAGATATTTAGAAATATAAGAAATTAGATGTTTGTTTTGAAAAGTTAAGTAAGTTTTTGTGAAATATGATTGTAAAATTAAAAATTACTATAGTAAAAGTTTTTTATTAAATTTATTTACTTCGCTATATTAGTATTAGTAGTTGTTAGGTAAATTTATTTACAAATTGGTTAACTGATTGGCGACACCTCAGAATCGGCTCTCAGCTTATGCAAAAAAATTAATTTATGAAAAATAAAAACATACTTGGCATATTATTAATATCCAAAATATTCCCAAATGTATCTGTGACCAATTCTGGAACAGCTCCGATTATTCCCCCTGTTGCTGTTCCAATAGAATTAATTGAAGTTTTAATGTCAAGCTTCTTCAGTGCGTCGATAGGTACTATTTGCCTGGTCCTCATAGCGGTACTACTAGCAGCGTACGTTAGAACGAAAATTAATATAATTTTGGGTATCATGATTGTTGTAATCACAATTCTGGAAAAAAAAAATAAACAGTAATTATACAATAATGCAATTTCAGTGAAAGAGAAGTCACTTTACTTAAACTCCCGGAATTTCCCCCACATCTAGGGAAAATTATGAAAATTGTCAATTTAAACAATGCTTTCCAGTTATAAATTTACAGTCAGCTCTTAGAATATATTCTTGAATGACTGATATTTATAATATGAGATGTAATACATTTTTTTGAATCTACGCACCGACTAATAGAAGCATCAATGCTATATCGCTTCTTATAATGCATGTGCAATCGCCCAGAGTTGTTTACTGTGATACAAGCAAAGACAAAATAATATCGATGTTTTCTTGGATGTAAAAAAATAGATATATGTCTGATTTTGTGAGACATAACTTACAACGGAGTCTTACATTCATTTAAGAGGATATAACTTCTATTACACTATCGACCCATCAATTGCAGCAAGAGGAAGAAGTGCGTTTATTTTTAAAAATAACATTTCCCACTATAAAGAACCAGGCATCCAAGAACTAGAATAATTAGGTAACCATCAGCACCGTCAACACTAAGCGGGGCAAAATTACAATAGCTGAAATCTATTGTTTACCAAAACACAACCAGGAAAATGAAAAGTATCTTAATGTACTCAGGAAACTAGGAAAAAAAATGTATAATCAATAGAGATAACAACACCAAAAACATTATTCTTTATTCTAAGAAAAATTTCACCTCACTATACACAAGTAGAGAAAACTTTGATATGGATTCAGACCATTCTTCAGTAATCCTTACTCTAAGTGCTAATCGAAAAACTAATTAGGAAGGTTTTTAAATACTATTCAACTGACCATGACACTAAAAACGAAAAATGACTAGATAAAGAACTGGAAAGGTTCATAGTTGAAATCCAGCAAGTTGCATGGAGGAACACAACAAAAATAAGAGAAGATTAACAGATGGAAAAACTGTCATATTAAGATAAGAGAAGTGGTAACAGAAAAAATAAAGCTAAGAAAGAAATGGTAGATGAAAAAATCACTAGAAGATAAATAAACATATTTTAAATAGGGTGTGGTCACATTGCAAGCATTATACAGGGTGTCCCAGCTAAAACTTGTCACTCCCCTAATCTCCGAACTCGTGAAAAAAATTGAAAATCGCTCAGACCCGTCGATTTTTATTTCAAGGGGGAACACTTTCACTAAATACATCATCATTGTGTTGTCAACCCCCTCATTCCCAGCACCCCCTACTTCAAAATTTTCAATGGGACTACTTGTGATACATCATTTTAAAGGGAATTTATTTCCAAATACATCGGTGTACTGAAATTAAGGATCGATTAAGTGTTGTTGAAGTTTTATTGAAAACTAAGTTTTATTAAGATATTTTTATTTTTCATCACCTAAAATGTTATCATCGTAAGGAGATTCACTGTGGGAATGCCACCGTATTGAAAATTAATATGCTTTCAGAAATAATAGATTAAAAGGAAAGACAGATGTTTTTATAAAAAAAAAAAAATTATCGTGTTTTTGTATACGCATATCTTTGTTGAAGCATTGGTATATTGATGTATTCGATTCACTTCATTCAACAATTTGAAAACTGTTGAAAATGGTTTATACTATACAAGAGAGGATTTCCATTGTAGCTGCGTATTTTGAAAATGGCTCGAAGTTTCAATGAAATTCATCCAGAAAAAAACACATCATATCAGTACGTGATTCAATTGATGAATAAATTCCTGGAGTCGGGATCAGTGCTGAATAAAAAACATGAACGAGAGAAGCCTATGAGAAATGAAGGGGTCGCTGTTGCAGTTGTAGGACATGCAGTGATGGACAACATTCAATCTTTAAGACAACTTGAAACTATTTCTGGAGTTTCTAAAAGCAGCGTACATCGAATTCTAAGAGAAGCAAAATTCCATCCTTATAAAATGCAGAATGTACAAGAATTAAATGAAGATGATCCTGACAGACGTACAGAGTTTTGTCAAATCATGGGTCAATTATTGATTGGTGATAATAATTACCTCTACAATGTGTGCTTTTCTGACGAATCTTCTTTTTATTTAAATGGACATGTGAACAGGCACAACTGCAGATACTGGAGGGACGTAAATCCCCTTTGGTACAGGGAAACTCATTCATAAATTCCCCAGAAATTGAATGTTTGGGCTGGTATTCTGGGAGATCATATTGTAGATCCATATTTTATTGATGGTAACATCAACGGACAAAAGTATCTTGATCTGCTTGATACAACTGTGAATCCCAGAATCACTGAATTACTTGAAAACGATGATGGTCTACTTAAATCTCAGCTCACCTTTCAACAAGATGGAGCTCCTCCACATTTTGTTGCACCTGTACGTCAATTTTTAGATGACAATTTCACAGGGAGATGGATTGGAAGGCGAGGACCAATAGAATGGCCGGCTAGATCTGCTGATTTATCACCATTAGACTTTTTTTATGGGGTCATTTGTAATCCAAAGTTTATATTACACAGCCAAATTCTCTTGATGATCTACGCAGGAGAATTGTTGTAGAGTGTCGTGCAGTGACTCCAGAAATGTTGAGAAATGTGCGAAGACATTTCGAAAATAGCTTATGCTTCTGTATGGAACTAAATGGTTCACATTTTGAACCTTTCATATGATGATAACATTTTAGGTGATGAAAAATAAAAATATCTTGATAAAACTTAGTTTTCATTAAAACATTAACAACACTTGATCGATCCTCAATTTCAGTACACCGATTTATTTGAGATTAAATGCCCTTTAAAATGATGTATCACAAGTTAGTAGACCTATTGAAAATTTTGAAGTAGGGGGTGCTGGGGATGAGGGGGTTGACAACATAATGATGATGTATTTGGTGAAAGTGTTCTTCCTTGAAATAAAAATCGACGGGTCTGAGCGATTTTCAATTTTTTTCACGAGTTCGGAGATTAGGGGGGTGACAAGTTTTAGCTGGGACACCCTGTATACCTTTATTCTAGTTTGTATCTGTAAACATTATGTATTGTGATGGGACCGATCTTATAAAATAAACATTTAAAACATTTTAGTTTTTATTTTATTTGCGAATAAAAAGTATTTAAAAAATATATTTTTTATTTGACATCTGTGACAAATTGTGAAAATGATTAAACTAACAATAAAAACTGAAAAATGGTAGATAAAGTTTCATGTAATATTTTTAACACAAATATCAATGTTCAGCTGTCTACATAACCTAATATATATTAAAAAATAATCTCAAAGTATAAAGAAAATTAAGTTTACTAACTACAGTGAAACCTGAGTAAGCCGGAACCTGTGTAACACGGAATCCTGTGTATGACGGAAATTTTGGCGATTACCTACATATTGTAATGTAAAAATTGCTTATAAGCCGGAACCCTGTCTAACGCGAACACGGAATTTTCCTAATCTGTTAAGCCGGAACCTACTTATGTTATTGCTTTGCAGGTATAAAAGAATTTATAGATGTTGACATAATTAGTTTATGATTTCGGAAAGCCCCATAATAAGGGCGAACTATTATCAATACTTAGAACCATTATCACAGAAATTTGGGTACAAAAGCAGTAAATACACAAATAAACCAGTATTGTGTAGGTACGGCAGTTTGAGTTTATCCGTGAAAGTGCAAACATTTCAAAATGGCAAACCGAAAAACGAATACATTATCGCTAAAATCTAAAATGGACTTAATTAAATGTAGTGACCAAAAAAAACTTACTCCAAAGCAATTGGTTATTCAATTTAAGTGCGGAAAAACGCAAGTGTATGAAATTTTGAAAAACAAGGAAAAAATTAAAGAAGAGTGGATGCGTGGTGGTAATGGCGATATTAAGAGAAAGCCAAAGGAATCACATCACGACGACGTAAATTCAACAGTTTTGGAATGGTTTATGGATGCAAGGTCTCGCAATCTTCCTGTATCTGGAACAATTATTCAAGAAAAAGCAAGAGAAATTGCAAACCATTTTGTAAAAGTAGATTTTAAAGCTTCGAATGGATGGTTGGAAAGTTTTCGAACACGACATAACATAAGATTTAATCAGATCTGCGGTGAAGCTAAGGACGTCGACATGGAATCTGTGACTGAATGGATATCGCACATTACAGATTTAATTAAAGGATATACCCTAAAAGACATTGCTAATTGTGACGAAACTGGCCTTTTTTATAGAGCGCTGCCGGACAAGACAATGTGCTTTAAAGGTGAAAAATGTCAAGGAGGCAAACAATGTAAAGAAAGGTTAACCGTTTTGTTTTGCGCCTTTGCTGACGGAAAAATAGAAAAACCTCTAGTTATTGGAAAATCCCTCAGACCGCGATGTTTTAACAATACCAATGTGCCTCAGCTACCAGTTTATTGGCGAGCAAATAAAAAAGCATGGATGACATCAGTTCTTATGGAACAGTGGCTAAAAATTTTAAATCAAAAAATGAAATTTGAAAATCGACACATCCTTCTATTTATGGATAATGCAACGTGTCACCCCAAAATAATACTATCCAATATAAAATTGTGTTTTCTACCACCAAACACCACAAGTCAAACACAGCCTCTCGATCATGGAGTTATACAAAACTTCAAAATGCATTACAGAAAACAAGTGCTGCGGTCAATTATTGCGAATATGAGATTCTCTCAATCAGCAGGAGATTTGGCTAAAAAAATATCAGTTTTGGATGCTATCAGATGGATTGATTATTCAGTAAAAAATATTAAACCTGATTGTGTTAAAACATGTTTTGCGGCATGTGGAATCAAGCAAGATGGAGACGTTGACCTAATCGAAAATGTTGACGAAATTGACGAAAGTACAAAAGAAGTCGAAGAGTTAATTACTGAAATTAATCCCGGTTGTAATGTTCATGATTACATCACATTAGATGAAGCCGTTACAACAAATGCTGGATTTCAGTCCATAGAAGAACTGGTGTTAGAAAAAACTGCCGTGGAAACTACTGTGGCAGACGATAATG